CCCCAAAACCCCAAAACCCCAAAACCCCAAAACCCCTTTTAGCACTAAATTAATAGAAGTATTTTAAAAATGTCAAGCTATAAAGACAACTTTGGAAAGAATGAGGAGTCTGAGAGGCTAGGATACGATGACTCAGCCTTCTATTTCTTTGCCTGCACCATACTCATACTGATAATCATTGTCTACAGTTATTTCCTGTTCAGAGACCTCCTTTTCTCAAAGAGAGTGTCGGATAAAAACCAAAAATCTTCTGACCTAGACACGTGTCAGGGAGTTTTGAAAGATTTTGAGGATAAATCCAAAGCTAAACCATCTATGGTAAAGTATATTCTCAAACTCGGTTTCTTAGCTTTCCTTGTGGTCTTACTCTATGCGAGTTATAAAGAGGCAGGATCTGTAGAGCAAATGAAGGCATTTGATCCTTTTGAAATTTTGGATATCCCTCATGATGCAGACACTAAGATGATTAAGAAGGCTTTCAGAAGAAAATCAGTAGAGACTCATCCAGATAAGAATCCAAATGATCCTCTAGCAGCTAGTAAATTCTTACAAGTCACCAGAGCTCATCAGGCATTGACTGATGAAGATTCAAAAGAGAATTACAAAAAGTATGGGAACCCAGATGGTCCTGGCCCGATCAAAGTGGCTATAGGCCTTCCGTTCTTCTTGATGAAGAAGGAGAACCAGATAGTGTCTCTCTGAATATCATTCCTGTTCATCTTGGTTTTGATCCCACTAGGGTTCTTCTACTGGTATTCTAACTCCTACATTTACACTGACACTGGGCTGAAGGAGGATGACGGAAGAAGGTACGCTCAGGTCCTTAATGAAATGATGAGTTTCCAAGATTTCCCTAAACTTGCTGGTTGGTGATCTGACCTTGAAAGCATTAAAATACAAAACAAAACTGAAGTAGAAATGCTCATCAAGCTCAATGCTGATAAATTGAACAACAGAGGTCCTAAAGTTGACAAGAAGAAAGGAGTCTTGGCGAACTATAAATGCCACATGTTGCTTTTATTCTACATGTGCAGAGCAGAAGGAATTCCAGAGAGATACAAAGAAGAAGTTAGCCAGATTGTTCAAAAGATCCCAAGCCTTATTGATCTTTGGCTTGAGATTTCGATGTTCTTCCATGTCAATTACGCGAGAAAGGTAGTGAGGAAAAATATTCCTTTCAAGACAGTTGTAGACCTGATGAATTTCTCTCAACACGTAATTCAAGGAATGTGGGAGAAAGATAGCGAGCTCATGCAGCTTCCTCACATTAACACAAATGCATCGATTGCTATTCAAAAGAAAATGAAGAAGAAGACAGTTAGTTTGAAGGAATATGTAGAATTATCCCCAGAAGAGAGGAAAAGTCATGGTGTCCTCAAAGATGCTGAAATGGAGCATGTAGAGAAATGGATCAAGAATCTCCCTAAGATTAAGTTTAGTTCTAAACTTTATACTGATGGATTTGAAGATATCATTGGTGGCGATTTAGTAACAGTTTCTGTATCTATTGATCGTGAGGATCTCTCAGTACATGATAGAGTGCCTCCTATTTGTTCTACGACTTATCCATTCAGTAAAACTCCTACATATCACATTTTCATCACAGATAGGACTGAGAAAATGATTATGGGAAACATGAAGCTAACAGGTACGACTAAAGTGCTGACTAGCGAGATCAAGCTACCAACTCCACCCACCACCAACGGAGAATGCATGCTGAAGATCTTCTGTTTTGTAGATTCGTACATCGGTTTTGACCAAAGCACAGAGTTGAAATTCACAGTAACTAAGTATGATGAAGAAAGGGACACATTCAAATATCATGAAGACGATATCAAGAGGGATCCCTCTCTCTTTGAGCAGGCTCTCCAAGGCCTTAAGGAGCAAAACTCAGACGATGAGCTTGAGTCAGACTCTGATGATGACAAAGGATTTGGGTCAAAGAAGCATCTTTCCAAAAAGTCCAGCGATGATGAGATCGATGATGAGAAAGATGATTAATAAGCTGCTTCAACCAGTTTTATATTTAAAGGGGTTTTGGGGTTTTGGGGTTTTGGGGTTTTGGGG